AATTCGGACACATTGCTGAAACGCAGAAAGGATTCCTTTCTTGACTGCTAATGGAGTTTGCCACTTCATACCACCTTTGCAAACTCAGCTTCAGATGGTTTCCATAGCCACTTAGTGAGGTAGGCAGGCTAGCTGTGTCAATCCTAACTTTTTTTAAAATTAATAAATCATGTTATTAGGGGCTCTTATAACAATCCATACATCAATTGCATCAAACACATTTGTACATAGGTTGCCATCATCATTTCCAAAACATTTTCTTTCTGCTTGAGCCCTTGGCATTGGCTCTTCTTCCACCACCACCCCCTCATGGACCCCTGATAAATTGTAAATTATTATGATTGACATATCTCACACCATCCACTGTCTCCGTTCACCCACATTTTTGTTGTTCATGCCCTTTAAGGGGAGGTGGCATACATTGATAATTGCAGTTGGTTCCCTGTTTACCCCCCCACCTTCCCCTACCCTCATGGTATCGCTACTTCCCTTACTGTTCTTGTGGGGTTTATCTGTCCTGGTTTCTACGTGTTGAGAGCTCTTCTCTGTACCCGTGTACATGTTCCAGTCTAGCCAGATTTGTAAGGTAGAACTGGGCCATGATAGGGGGTGGGGGTGGGGGGAGGAAGCATTAAAGAACTAAAGGAATGTTATGTGTTCCATCAGTGCTATGCTGTACACTGGCTGACTCATTCCTCCTTGTGACCCTTCTGTCAGGGGATGTCCAATTGTCTACAGATGGGCTTTGGGTCTCCTTTCGGACCCCCATCATTTGCATCAATATATTTGTTTGTTTGGGGTCTTCTGATGCCTGGTACCTGATCCCATTGACACCTCATGATTACACAGGCTGGTGTGCTTCTTCCATGTGCTATTGCTTCTCTGCTAGATGGCTGCTTTTTAACTTCAAGCCTTTAGGATCCAAGACACTATATTTTTTAATAGCCAGACACCATTAGCTTTCTTCACATTTGCTTATGCACCCATTTTGACTTCAGTGATGGTGTCAGGAAAGTGAACATCACAGAAAGCCGGCTATTAGAACAAAGTGTTCTCGAGTTGAGGGAGTACTTGACTAGAGACCCAATGCCAGTCTGCTACCTTAATACTTAACATTTAATTATCTGTGCATAGACCCATATCCCTATTAATATATTTATGTTATTTATGCCTATCTTTTTACCTCAATAAATGTCTTTTGCCTCCTAGTTTCTTCCACTATTTCTTTTTAAAAAGAATCATTTTATT